TTATGCCAAGAGCATGAGTTGTAAAAACTCTAGGATCCAACTTTGATTGACAATCATAAGAGTGTGGTTGCCTACAGACAACCACTAAGGGGAAACGCGACATTTTTCTTACCTTGATGGGAAGACACTTTCCACCTTCTAAGCCACAGAACAGATGACTGGATTCACTCTAAATGTAAGAAACCCACTTTGCTTTTTCTAACCAGCAACAGGAATCTGTTTACAGCCACACTGCAGTTCAAGACAGAAGCATCCCCAGAGGCTGTTAGCTGACACTGCTGCTGACGTCACCGGCATCGCCAACAAGCAAACATCATAACTAATGCATGCTTGGGCTGCTGAGCATCTGCCGTTTCTGCAGCTCTGAAAGTCCTGCTTGTCACAGGAATAGAACTAGATTCACGCATGAGAAAGAAGGCAAACGTGTTAATCCATCCAGTCATAAAAATACGACTGGACTGTGGGTCTTCAGAAAGTTCTGTTGTGGGGAACTGAAAGGGAATTAGGCGAGGGCTGCTCAAGGCCAGAGGACGACTCACTCAGCAGTTTAATAAACTTGCCTTCTTTCTAGTTTGCTCATGCAGATTTTCAAAAGAATTTGGTTTATGGCTGAACATTCAGGCGGCTGTCTCTTGGAAACAATGAAAAGAATGGGGCTTAAATTGGGTGAAAAAACGACTTAAAGATGTATTAGGTGTGGGTCGTGTCTCACATGTTACATCATCTCACTCCATAGAACAATTATTAGTCTTATTAGCTTCCCTTTACACGTGAAGAAACCAAAAATGGGGGCATGTGAATGGTGCCAAACCTTTGAGAATTATTTCCTCTTCAAATTATCATTCATTCCTTGAGTTGCAATAAGTTCCTGAAGTCTGCAGTGTTTGAATTGTGTCTGGTCGGGAAGATAGAAGCTGCTTTGGATACTGAAAGCAGAGGGAACTTGATTCAAGGAATTAATGACAAAAGTGTTGGGAGGGGTCGTGATTCAGGCATTGAGTTGAATTGTAGGACACCCAGCTGGTATCTCAGAGAGTTGGTTGGTGGGGAAACCATCCCACATTTGGTATCAGAAGTGAAGTGCTCTGTGTGACTAGTAAAGGAGATATACAGGAGAAAGAAACACAGGAGGGAAACACTGGTTTTTCTAACTCAGACCCAAATGCACTTTAGTGAAAGGACAGGCAGCACCATAGGAGCTGGACAGAGACAGCCCATGGAGAAACCTCATGTTAAACAGACCTGTGTTGTCCAAAGACATGGTACAGCACGACATGTGAGAAGAGCCTGCCAAAGTCATCTGTCCAAGGAAGGCAAAAGGAGCACTTGCAATTAAACTCTTCCTTGTGTGAGAACTTTTCACTTTATTGTTTACTTCCTGATTGTAAAAACTTATTAACTGTTCACAATTAGAGCTTTTTCCCTTTCTTCACAGAGCAGCCATTAAGTACCCATCCTTGGACAGGCCTGATGTGACTGATGTGCTGAAGTGCAGAGCTGAACAGATGAGGTCCTTGATCGTGAGTGCTATGAGAACAGCGATGCAGTCTCCTTAGGGTGAGTCATCCTTACAAATGTGTGCTTGTGAGGTAGGAAGATACTCATTTTATTTAGCAGCCAGTCGGCTCGGTTTATAACTTCTAAATGTCTAGGCATGTGGTAGGCATTTAGACATTGCCCTAAATTATGAGGTGGGGGCCTGCTTTTTAGCCAACCATCTTCCTTATTTAGTTTCTCAGTATGACTCTTCTAATCTTCTCTGCTGAGGGCTTACCTCTTGGGTTGTCCCTTAAAATACCCAAATCAAAAGCTCTAATTGTGAATACCCAAGCCAAATTAATGGCTTGGCAGTCTTTTTATTATTAATCTGTGATTCCTTGTACACTCAGATCTGGGTCCTTTGTTAGATATATATGTGTACACGTGCACACGTGCACGCACATACACACACACTCACAACACACACACATCAGACATCACATCCCACTTGTATGGCTTTCCTTTTTATTCTCTTGATGGTGTCTGTTGATAATTGAAAGTTCTTAATTTTAAGGTTACCAATTCATCAGGTTTTTTCCCCTTTATTCCTAGAGACTTTTGTGTCCTCTTTAAGAAATATTTACCTAGTGTAAGATCCTAAAGGTTTTTTTCCTGTTTTCTCTTTTTATTATTTTATTTATTTATTTATTTATTTTTATTGGGGAATAGGCACAGCACTGGGGAATTGGGGGAAGGGGAACAGACAAGTTCTTCAGTCTAGTTGTGGAGGACGTTGCTTCACTGGTCCAAGTTGGCACCATCATTATGCTCTTCCCGGGCAAGGCAGATCAGTCGCCGGCTTCTGGACGGCCTCTCACTGCGGCTGTTGGCCGCTCACGCTGGCTGCTGGCCGCTCACGCTGGCTGCTGGCTACACACAGTAGCCCATGGCAACCCACTGCCACAGGGACTGTAGCCTACGCCGTCGCCGGTGACTCACAGCAGCCCAGGTCCAGGTTGAGCTGTTGTTCAGCATCTTAGCTGTAGAGGGCAGTGTCACTGGCCCTCATATGTGGGATCTGAACCGGGGCCCTCTGGCGTCCCAAGCCAGCTCTTAACCAACGCGCCACTCGGCCGGCCCTCCTGTTTTCTCTTAAAAGCTTTATTGCTTTACCTTTTACATTTGGAGCATTACATCCCAATCCATCTGCCACTGAGTTGGTGTGTTGTAGAGGTCATGATTACTTTTGTCTTCCAAATGGATAGCTGTTGACCCAGCTCCATTTCTCAAAAAGGCCATCCTTTCTCCCACTGGTCTGCAATATCACCTCTGTTATTATCCAAGTGACTATATATATGTGGGTGTCTTCCCATTGGCCTATTTGTTTTTCCTTGTGCCCAAACCACACTTTCTCAGTTACTATAGCTTTGTACTTAAATACTGTAAGTTTTATAGGTCTGGATATCTGATAGTATGAATCTTCCTACTTTCTTCTTCAAGATTGCCTCTGCTATTGGTCCTTTGCATTTCTGTATAAATTTTGAAGTGCCTTGTCAATGTCCATGAAAAGTCATGCAGACATTTTATTTGGAATCTACAGGTCAAATCAGCAACAACTGACAGCATTAACAATTCTCAGTCTTCCAGTTACGAACATGGTATCTTCTTTCATTTATTTTGTGCTTTAAAATTTTCTCTCAATTACATTTTATAGTTTTCACTGTAGGAACTGCAGTTTTCATTAGATAGTCAATCATTATGCTGTACACCTGAAACAAATATCATGTTACATTTCAATTATATGTCAATTTAAAAACAAGTGCATTAATTTTCAAGGAGCTTAATTCAACTGCAGTCAGAGACAGTGCTCAGAATTATTTTGATCCTTTGAAATTTGTTGAGGCTTGCTTTGTGACCCAGCATATAATGAGTCTTGGTAAATTTCTTACATCTTTTGGTTCTACTATTGTTACTGACTGTATGTCCTGCCTCTAGGACAGCGGTTCTCAACCTGTGGGGCGCGACCCCTTTGGGGGTTGTACGACCGTTTCACAGGGGTCGCCTAAGACCATCGGAAAACAAAAATATATTTACATTACGATTCCTAACAGTAGCAAAATCACAGTTATAGAGTAGCAACAAAAATAATTTTATGGTTGGGGGTCACCACAACATGAGGAACTGTATTAAGGGGTCGCGGCGTTAGGAAGGTTGAGCACCGCTGGAGAAGGAGAAGGCATGCTCAGTTTCTGAGGTCCAGACTAGGAAGAGATGCACATCACTTGTTTCTGTTCTGTTGATAGGCACATACTCAGATGTCCACATGACTGGGCTTAATGCAAAGGGAATGGGACTGACTTACTGGACAGGGTCCTTCCTCTGTAAGACTGCAGGCTGTCCCACAATCTCCCACTAAGCAACTCCAGTTGGGGGAGAAAAAAAAAAAAGCCTCTCTCCATAGCTCTGGTAGAAAAACCCCAGAGAAAATCATATTGACCAGATTTGGGTCGGTTTTCTATGTTTAATTGATCATTATGGCAAAAGGGACAGAATCGACCTGTGGGGTCCAGCCTGCTTCCCACAGATCCTCTGGAGGGTAAGGAAGCCAGGCACTGTCCCACAACTTTTATCCCTCCCGGATGGAGGGCTGCTGAGGAGCACGTGAGCGCCCCACCCCTTCTGGGCCGACCCCATTCCTCCCCTGAGCAAGCACCCACAGCCAGGGACCTTCAGGTACCCGACCCAGGGAACGTCCGCAGACACCGGAGGAGGCCGTTTTTTCACTGTGCGAGGTGGATGTCTGCACGCGGAGCCCAAGATGGTGGACAAGGTCCCGAGTGTTCTTTCTCTGAAGGAGAGTAAAGAGGCTCATGGCTAATGTGGGTAGGTTATGGAGGGAGGGAAGGAAGTTTCTCTATCCCTCAAATGCACCAAAAAATGGTTTCCTAAAAGGAAGTTAGAGCGAGATATCAGAAGTGAGGGGACTTTTAAGAACCACCCCACTCAGAAAGGGAAATCAAGGTCCGGCAAGGGAAAGGGAGGGCCCAAGGCCGGCAAGCGGCGGGGCTGGCAGCGGGGTCCAGCGCTCCTGGGGCCTGGGGATTGTGTCCTCCAGAGCGACCAGAAGTCACCCCCGCCGTGCGCCACAGCCGCCAGAACGTCCTGGGTTCTTGTGGCCTTTCAATAGGAAAAGAATGGAAGAGCGTCTGGGACACTGGATAGGGCGTCAGAATTTTTTGTTTTTAATCCATAAAATGTCCCTTTAAAATAGTAGGTGGAAGAGCCGAAGAGAGACCCGTAAAAAGGTTATCTTCCGCTGGCACGGCCCCCAAGCTGTGACCCTGGGACCCGGAGGACGCGCCCGTGTCCCAAGTCCCGCTCCAGCGCACCCTCGCCCACTGCAGAACTGGTGAGGGGCGCAGAGCGCGCAAGCGCCTCCCGCATCCACGGCGCACGGGATCACGGGGCTGGGGCGGGGCGCGCAGGGCGGACCCCTGGTGACGCGAGGGGCGGGGACCTTGGTGGCTGGGACGCGCGGGGGCGGGGTCTGGCGGGAGCGTGGGCCGGGGGCCTGTGCTCGGGGCAGGGACACTGGTGGCCCGGCTGGGACGGAGGACCTGGGCGCTTGCGCTGCTCCGGTGGGTTCCACGCGGAGCCGCTGGTCCCTGCGCCCTGCGCCGGCGGCCTCGCCATGTTCACCTTTGTGGTTCGCGATGAGAACAGCAGCGTCTACGCCGAGGTCTCCCGGCTGCTGGTCGCATCTGGCCACTGGAAGAGGCTGCGGCGGGACAACCCCAGGTTCAACCTGATGCTGGGGGAGCGGAACCGGCTGCCTTTCGGGAGACTGGGTGAGCTCCCCGGTTCTGGCCCCCGTCCCCCGCGGCCCGCTAGAACCAGCGTTTTTGTTTTAAGGCCACAGACCTCCCCCCGCGCTGCCCCTCCCCGGAAAAACACAGATCCCTAAAGGTCTTAACGCTTCTTGTCTCCGGAATCGGATTCAGGCCCGAGTCACGGCGCGGCCACCGACAATGGCCTGTCCTGCAGCCCGAGGGGCGTCGGCCGCATGCTCCCCATCCTCTCGGCCACAAGCCCCCATCCCCGGGCCCGACTCCCCCCACCTCCAATCCGCGGGCTCCACGCCCCTGTAATGCCGGGCTGACTCCCCCATCCCGAAGCCGACGCCCCCATGGGGCAAGTCCGCCGCAGAGCCGGGTGATATCCGGCTGGAGGATTGCACCCGGCCTGGTATGGGCGCAGGAGGGTCACTTGTGTGAAAAGCCTGAGGACTCAGCTCCTCGAAAGCTCAGATAAAGTGCCAGGGCATTTGAGAAAGGCTCTGGATTCCCAAAGCAGGAGCTTCACGAGGGAGACCCCAGAAGGGGGGTGAGGGCGTCTGTTTTCACATGTTCCTTAGTTTCCCCGAGGAATGTGGGGTCACTATGGGGCGTTGAATGCAGATTTTAGGGATGCTGGGTTCGCCCTCCGCCCTGCTTCATTCACGAAGTGGAGCTGGCTTTGCACCACTGGGTACCCACGGCCTCTTGGTGGGGAGAGACGCGCCACCCACGCTCCTCTTTGGGTGACGTAATCCAGAAGTTGTGCAGCTGCTCCAACTCATCCCACACTGGCCTGGGCGCAGCAGCCTCGTGGCCCCTCCTCGCTGCCCCGGGAGCCATGTTCTCTAACAAAATTCCCCGGGGGTCGGGGCCAAAGACCCAGAGGGAGAGACGATAATGAGGAAAAGCCATCTCTGCCTTGGACGGCAACCACACCCAGCAGTATTCTGAGTCCAGGGGAGGAGACAGTTTCTAGAAATAGGTGTGGTCAGAGGTGGGGAGGATGAAGGGGCAGAGACTGGAAACAGGCCATTTGGAACCGACTGACTGCAGCTAGCTTACACAGCTTTGGTGGGAGCGGTGCAATCATGATGGGTTGGGACCTTAATGGGTTCAGAAGTCTTACTGAAACTTTTTCTTTGGAACGCTGGGTACCATGGATAACTTTAATTGTTATACAGGTTTATGATGTGTGATGAGGACTCCTTGGAAGGGCTGGTTGCAGCCCCAGAAACCTTGGAATGTGGGGAGTGTGCCCGGAGATCCCCTTTTGTTAACTGTCTCCCCAAGAAGCCCTCAGCAAAGGGAACACCTGCCCTTAAAGCAGAAGAAAATGTGTCGGCAGTTGGGAACGGGTCTTTCCTCCTGGCTCTGTGCACTTCCTCTTTGCCCTGGGCAGTACCTGGCCGGAAAAGCTTAGCTGGAATCCTAATGTTAAGAATAGAATGGTGGCTCTGCAGAGGCTGGAATGGGGTGCATGGCTCAGGCCGCGGGAGAAGGAACAGAAACCACCCAGAAGGCCCAAATCCTACACAGGACCCACACAGTCAGCAGATTTGGTGTTTGTGGGAGAGGAAACGGTACCTCACAAGCAAAATGGCTTTATGCCTGCACTGTGGGGATCTTTTCCTTTTGCTGAAAGTACACTACATGGACCCCAAGGAGAAATGAGGTTGGTAGAGGCTTAGGTTGCTGGGGGCCCTTGGAGAAGGTAGACAGTCCAGGTGGGAGCCCAGAATCCAGTGGGAGCCTGGTGGTGCCTGAAACTTTTCTTTGGATGCTGTTCTCAGATCAGTTTTTCTTACCTCTGGCAACTTCAACTCAGACTCCCTTTATTTGGCTTTACTTTTGTTCTTATTGCTGGAAATACAATGCATTTTGTTAGGATTTTAAACAAAAGTAGAGGCTTTTGTTTTATTTGTATTCCTTCTGCTCTAATTTCATGGAGGAGGGACATGCAGTAGGATCTATTGAAAATGAGTGTTCCTGTGGGCTAATGCACAGAAGCAAGTCCTCAGGCTTCAGATTTTATAGACATGGCCTCTCCTCGGCCTCCCTTCACCTTCTGGAAGCCCGCAGAGGCAGACATGCTGGAAAAGAGGCAGTACTCCGGCTTCCCCTGAGGGGTATAGGGAGTGAGGTGAGGAAGGTGAGGAGCGAGGGAGGTCAGGAGTGGGACTGCTGAAGTCCTTCCTATACCGAAGTTACACTGAAGTCCCTGTGTGTTAAGCCAAGGAGGGGTGCGGTGGGGACCTGGAGAGGCGAAATATAAAGTCATCGGGCAGCCCTATGACGTTGACATTATAATACCCACTATGGGGCTATTACATGGGGATATAATAATCGCCAGTCCTGAAAGGGAGAGAGGGGTGGGTTGACACAGCTGTTGCCTCCCCTGCACACGGGTGCTGACCCATCCTGCTTCCCTCCTGAGCCTCCCTTTCCTTCACAGGTCACGAGCCTGGGCTGGTGCAGCTGGTGAATTACTACAGGGGGGCTGACAAACTGTGCCGCAAAGCCTCTCTAGTGAAGTAAGTGTTCTTTAAAACCTGTTCTTGATTTTTCACTCAAATGGTGTTAGCTTTCATTATGAAACACATCAGGAAAAATGTGGGTTATTTTTTTAAAGGGCAAATGGACTTTCACTTACAAGCCAACACGTGCCAGTTCTGGAGCCTTCTCTGAGCTGCTCTGATTGCAGCCTGAACTCTGCGGGCTTGCGCTTGATGAAATCTGTCTGTGTGGTGAGGCTCCCAAAGGCAGGGCCCGGGGCATGTTTCCTGTGTAAGTGATGTGTGTGTGTGTGTGTGTGGGGGGGGTCCCGCATTCCAGGATGTGTCAGCCATTGGCTGCAGAAGTGGGGTGTTCTGGGAAGGGCTGGTCCCTAGAAAAGGGACGTGCATGAGCCCTTGGTAGCCACTGGCACATCAGCCGGGGTCCCTCCGGAAAGGACACCTGGCAGGGCATAACAGTATCTGCAATACTGCCCCTCTCTGAGAAGTTGGGTTGTAAGCAGTGTACTGTGGTGATTGGGGTCCAGGACCAGTGGTGCAGGTTGCAGCCCCGTGTTCTTGCTCTAATTAGATTAGGCAAATTTCCTCATCTGTCTAATCCCCACCACATCCCTCAGATGGTTGTGAGGACTGAATAAGGTGATGTGAGTGAAGTGTGGTGCACAGGGATAGGGAGCATGGGATTCTGCCTCAGTTTCCTTCTCTGTGAAATGGTGATAATAATGGTAACTGCCTCTGGGTTGTTGTGAGGATTCTAAGTTAATTCATGTCAAGGCTTTGACTAACGCCTGCCGGTAGTTCACACTGAGTAAGTGAGAGCTCCTCTTGTTATTACTGGCTGTCACTGCTATTGTTGTCATTTCAGTAGGGAAGTTGGGTATGGCCCCTAAGTCGGGGCTGTAGCAGGTCCCCAGTGTCCTTTCCATGGTGACTAGTGGCCATGGGTGTGCAGCTAAACAAATCATTAGGTGGGAAGACCCTGGAAGATGGCTCGGTGTGCCTGCTTTTTCTCCACTCACATTTCTTTCTGGGCTCTAGACTTACAAAGTGGGGTGTTCACAGGAATGTGTCTACTTTTTGTTCAACTCACTGACCCCAATAGCTTGGTATCCATTTCCCCCCGTGTGGGTTTTCATGGTTCACCAGCTACACATCAGGGAGAGTGAGACATCTGAGGTCTTCCTGTTATACATATCTTACGTGTGTAGATGCAAAAGAGTCTTTTGCCAGGGCTAGGTGCAGACATAGGACATGGTCATTTATCCAGGCTATTCATTTAGAAATTTCTATAGAGTGTTTATTCAATCTTTTCTCTACTATGATTTTTTTCTCTAAAAATAAAGATAGAATTTTGCTTTTATAAGTAGGAGCAGAGGATGCTGTAAAAATATAGTGTTCTACATATTGGCATATTTAGCAGCTGTAATGAGGTGGAGTGACTAAGGGCTGCAGTCATGACCAGGCCTGAGGAGGTGTCTAGGCTCTGGGACCTTGGACAGCGCCATTCTGACTCCCAGTGTCCCATCTGGGAAGTGGGGACATCGGTGAGCACGCCTGCTCTTTGCCCCTGGATAGCACGTGACATAGTCTGTGATGGCTTTACTTATGCAGGCTGGGCTTGTCCTCATCCTCACAAGTGTCCTTCATTCTCTCAGGTGTTCTGCCAGAAACTGTGGTAATTCCAGGAGGTGATGGTTCCCTTTGTCATTTTGTCTCTGTCCTATAATTTTGCATGACTCAGAAGGACTCTGGAGAGTTAAAAATGTCACCTTAAATGGCAGCTCACAGAGGGCATGTGGATTGCCAGGGCCAGCACAGTTATTAATAAGACAGGATGATTCGAATCTGTACTCAGGACCCATGTACTCAGTGTGACTGCGCGACCCCCAGAGGGTGCTGTACAGCAAGCACCTTCCTGCTGTCACTTCAGGGAGTGTCAGAAGTTCTTGGAGTCCAGATTCGGACCCCTGAGGGCTGTTCTTCCAGCCTTGGTTGGAGGCTCTCTTTTCTTCTTGTGAACGTTTTTCTCATAGATGTGAACAATCCTCCACTCGCAGTTCCTTTCCAAATGGGCTTTTCAGGAAATGGGACAGATACAAAAGAATTCCTGTCCAAGCTGGTCTTGGTTTTCGTGCAGGAAATGAGAGGGTGCAAGTGAAAGCCATCCTGCCGGCTGACGCTGTCCAGCAGAAATGGAACGCTAGCCACACATGTGACTTTAAGTTCCCTAGTAGACATATCAAAATTAGTACAAACAGGTGCAATTTATTTTAATAATATATTTCATTTAACCAAGTAATCCAAAATATCATTTTGACATGCAATTAATATAAAAACAACTAATGATATATTTCAAATTCTATTTTTTAATTCCGAGTCTTCAAAATCTGCTTTGTATTTTACATTTATAGCACATCTTAATGCAGACAGTAAATTTTCATTGCAAATCCGTGCTCTATATTTAGATTTCATAAAAATTTATGGTCAAAAGGGTAGATTCATATACCCAAGTTGTTCCTACATATGTAAAAGTTTTTCAATAACTTAATTAAATCGAGAAAGCATTTTCCTTTAATATCTACATGCACATTGACAAAACAGGCTCATTTTATTAAAAGAATTGACTTAGAAACAAAAGCATATCATTTCTAAAACTATGTTCACATTAAGTAAATTCACCAACCCTTGTGTCAACTCAGTAGCATTAATATCAAAATCAAAACAGCATTGAAGAAATTGAAAAGAAATTGAAAACTCTAAAATATCAGTGTCAACTAAGTGTTCTTCAAATTTTCCCTTTGATTTTGCAGCAATTTGCTCTCTGTTACAATTAAAACCTTGTTAAGTCATGACTAAAGCATATTAAGCATATGTTATAAAAATATGTAAACTCATTATCATTGAGTTGTATTATAAAGTTGGAACATAAATTCTCATACCTGTCTGGCTAGGTCATAAATAAGGTCTTCTTCTCCCTTCCTTAGAGCTTTAAAATTAGCCTGATCATGGCAGTGTTGATATAGGTGAGAGAATGTAAATTACACTTCCATTTTAATCTTTGATTGTTGAATGAAGTATGAATTATTAAATGAAAATAATGATTTGGCAAGCATTCCCTTTATTTCAAGAAAACCTGAATTGGACTTAATTGTATATTAAATCTTTGTAAAACCCTTGCACCTGACCATCCTAGGCAAAGAACACAAGTATCATTAAATTCCTTTTCTTCTGTTCCTTGCAACAGTTCTGTCAAATGTGAATCATTATAGCATTTGCAAGTATACCAGTATACTAAGCCATTTTAACTACTGTATCTATGCCACATTCTATAGAGTGGGCTTCAGCAAACTGACTGCAAATGTTTCCAGTATGTATCAGACAGTAGAATGAAGCAATAAAGAAAACATCTTTTAAAATTCCAGTACGTCCAAATTTTAACCCAACCTAGCTGGAGTACCATCTGTCATTACAGCCAATGCTTTTTCAGATGTAGGTGAAATTCTTTTGTGACAGGTGTAAAGGTTTAAAAAGTATCTTCACAGCGAGTTTGATCTTTTTTAGGCTGCAATTTGACAATTTTTTTTCATGTATTTGGAAATCCTTTGAGGCAAAACATACCCAAAGGATTAACTGGGCAGCATCTCTTATGTCACAACTCACCTAAAGCTAAAGAAAAATATTGTTTAGATTTCAAAATTTGAATCAATCTTTAACAGCATTAGAACAGTTTTGTACTCTATGGGCAGTTATTTAACTAAAGTGAATTAATGGAAGATTGTTCACTTCTTGTAAAATACTTTTTTAGTCTTTTCCTCAAACTAATTTATTTTCTCACATTTCCATCTAAAATGGTTTTCTTTTTTGTGTAAGAATCCAAGCCATTTTATAGCTGACCAAATTTACAAACATAGACTCTATTATGTAACAAATGGAAAATTTTTGGTTAAATATTTAATTTGGATTTTAGCCACTAATATCATTGATTCTTTTTTGACTGCTGAGAGGAAAATGCATATCAAAGTCATTATGTAGTTGCTGAAAATGTTTCCTTTATACAGCAAACTTCAGTTTACTCTGACACAGCAAATTGCAATTGTCATTCATTGTGAAATTTGTGACATATTTTCTTCTAGTGCTTTTTTCCCGTTACTATTCTGGTTGAAATTCTAGCTTCTGAGTCCTGATTCAAATCTACATCAGTAGTATGCCTTTGTTTTAAATTTTAAAATGTGTCCATACTCAATTAACTAGAAAAATATTTATACTTCACTTTAGTTGCCAATTATGACTTACTTAGTTATCACCATAACTCGTGTTCTATGCACGATAAACATAATGTTTCATCAATGCATGGAAAAAAACTCCCATGGACTGAATCAATCTGTTGTCCCTAAGTAACACTGTTGTGTTGATTTGTAATACTAGCAACGATATATGTGCCTGACATGCACTCTGTGACACAGCAAAAATGTTCCAGGTCACACAGTAGTTCAAATGGAATGTCCTGCTACCAAGGCAGCAAAGTTGTGCTGAATGGGAAAATATTTTACAATGCTTCAGTTTCAAAAATTTAAACTAAATTTAAAATTCATTTCCTGAGTCACGTTGGTCACATTTTAGGGGCTCAGAAGCCACGTTGACTGGTGGCCACCCTGTGGGACAGCGCTGACAGGGTTGAATGTGCAGTGAGTTAGAAATGGGTTTTTGTTGTTGTTCCTTTGAGTTCAAGTAACAAATTCTGTTGTCTTTAAGATAACTTTAGTTTAAATCTCAGTTTAAAGTTTCTTTTTATTATTTCTACCATTTGCTCACAGACTGGGTTTAGCAGGTGACTCTTAACCCGGCTGCAAATTAGCAATTCAGTAGAAGAGGGAGTCCAGGTGGGGAGGCCTGTGTCTTCCTTTCTGACTCTGATCCCCGGCACTGAGGATCAGAGTAGAGGTGCGACTTGGGACCTGGGGACTTGCGTCCTGCCTGTGTGATGCTGGGAAATCCACTGCTTCGTGACCCAGGGCCTGAATAGGAATGTGATGCTGCTGCCTCGCCTCAGGGGTCTGACTGGGCAGCAGATGAGGTGGGAAGCCCTTCAGAAGCCCTGGCTTGCTCAGGGCCTGATATTATCTTCCATCATGTCATGTCATTTTGGGGGCAGGAGTTATGACCGCTGGAATCCTGTGTCCTGTTAGAAAGATTCCTCCTTTATTCTGTCTCTGGAATTAGGCTCAGCTAAAAGCTAGAAATGAAGAACTAAGTCTACATAGTTCAGATTCCTGAGTCGTAGCTTTTCCTCTCCAGAGACTTGGGCTAATGACCGAAACACTTTCCTCAGTCCCTGACTTGGTTTTCTCAGTGTGAGCCTAGCAAGTTCACCCACAGCATATTTGTTAAGAGGTGTTAGCCCAGGACAATTCCAAGTTTTGTTTCCTTAGAGATGCATTTTCAAAAGAGCTGAGGTTCTGGACATTAGGTTCCTTTTGAGCCAGCTGACACCTGCCTTGGAGTCTGCATGTACACCTGTGTGTCCCGTGAGGGCATTACAAGTGGACCCAGGGAGGGAGAAGGAGCACCCAGCTCCCGGTCATGCCTGCCTCCTGGACAAGCTCTGGGGAGCACTGGCTTTTCTCAATAGAGTGACAGCACTAAGAGACCCCATGCCCTGTGTCCTGTGCCAGGCTAATCAAGACAAGCCCAGAACTGGCGGAGTCCTGCACGTGGTTCCCCGAGTCCTACGTTATCTACCCCACCAACCTGAAGACCCCAGCCGCTCCCATACAGAATGGGACCCACCTGCCCATCCATAACTCCAGGACGGACGAGAGGGAATCCTTCCTGGCATCTTACAACAAAAAGAAGGAGGATGGAGAGAGCAACGTTTGGATCGCAAAGTCATCTGCCGGGGCCAAAGGTGAGTTGGCATTCTTACCCTCTTGTCCCATCCCTGTCATAGGCTAGATTTTAATGATGTGTTTAGATGGGTGACTCTTTTACCTGTATCCTCCAGGTTAGTCAGCACATTTGGTTGCATTGTCTTGAATACTTAACCTCTGTTCCAATGACGTCTGCACGTGCATCTCCAGCCAGTGTCTTTCCCTGTAAGTGCCAGACCCAGCTACAGGCATCTGAAACTCACACGTCTGGCAGAGAACGGTTCACTTCCCCCCAGCTCTGCACCCTCGCTGCCCACCTTTCAGTCTTCCCACTTTTCTCTCTGTTCCCAGTCTCTGAGCCCAAACCCAGCATCCGTCATGACTGCTCTTTTCTTTACTGTCTATACCCGATGCATCAGCTCTACCTGCAAAGTGTGTTCTGAATTAGACTTGTTCTTGCCATTTCCATTTGAGTCAAAGCTACTGTTCTCGCCAGTCCTTCTCTTAGACAGTGATGCTTTGAAAACACAAACCTGACATATCACTGCCTGCTCAGGACTTCCCACTGGCTCCCACGCAGTTAGCATGAGCTCCATACCGAGCCCAGCTGGCAGCCTGCGTATTTCATGTGTTCCCGTCTGATCATAGCTCATTCTTGGCCTTGCTCGGGCCCCATAGCTGCCTCCCTGATGTCCTGCAAACCGTCCATACCTGTGTGTATCTGGACGCTCTTTCATGGGTCATTTCCTGAGTCTCTGAGCTGACTTGTTGCCGTGTTGGAGAAGTCCTTCTGACCTAACATAGCATCACCTGGAACCTCCTAAAACTGTGGGACTTTGACTCTTACCATGAGCCAGGTACCTCACCGACTTCTCTCTCCCCTCTTCTCAAGTTCTGTCCCCTAGCTTGGTTCTAGTAGTAAATCAGGGACTTGGAAGAGGAAATAGACATGCACAGTATTCCAGATGCCTCCTGTGGATTTGGGTGGAGTCAGGATTGCCATTGTAAGGACACCTTGACTAGCATTGAGACTCAGGAGTAAGATACGACCCTTGGCAGAAGGGCCTGTCAAGTCTGGCAGTGTTCCCACCTGGGTGGTCCATGGACACTCACCATGACAAGACACAGAATGTCAGCAGCAAAGGGGGGGAAAGAGAATAACATGCCAAGCGACGAAGCCATTTTGCTCTGGGAGTCAAGGAGATAAATTATATTAATTTATTTCTCTTGAGAACCACAGATGAAACCAATAGGCTGAATGAATGGCTTTTATTCTTGTTAAACAAATGTTAAGTACCCACTGCATGACAGGTATAGTTGGTCCAACCTTGAAACTACATCCAGTATCGAGCCTGTTCAACCTTTACCTCTCACCGGGAGCACTGCTCCCTGTCCTGGACCATTCTGTAGAGTCTACACACAGCACAGCAGACAGACATCCTGCTAAAGCACAGTCAGGCCATGTCACACTGGTGCGCAGTGCTGTGGTCAGCACCTGGCACGCAGCAAAGATCAGTATAGGTATTCAGTGAGTGAGTGAGTGAGTGAGTGAGTGAATGAATGAATGAATGAATGAATAAAAGAAGTAATGATAGGGGTAAATGAGACAGACAGGATGTCTTGCTGTCATGGACCCACAGTCTAGTCAAAAAAAGGCCATCCAATTTGTACTTCTTCATACCTTCCCCTTTTCCACCCACTCCTAGCCCCACTCCTGTCTGACACTGAGATTGTAGTCATGGTTGCTTGAATAGACTAAAAACCATTGAACATAGACTAAAAACACTTTCAGTGAGTGAATTTTATGATATATAAAATATATCATGGTGAAGCTGTAAAATATATGTAAAACATATCGTGGTGAAGCCTTTTTAAGGCTTTTGTATCACTTATTTAATATTGACGGACACTTTGGAGCTGATTTTTCTGTTACAAAACTGCAGGAAGCCCACTGCTCCATTTGCACTGTGCCCTAACCTCCCTGGTGTTTCCAAAAAATAGTGTTAGAAGCAGGCACAGTGTGTCATCTTTCTTTCTTTCCTTTTTTTTTTTTTTTAAGATTTTATTGCGGAATTGGGGAAGGGGAACAGCCAAGTTGTTGTCCTTCAGTCTTAGTTGTGGAGGGTGCAGCTAGCTCAGCTCCAAGTCCAGTCGCCATCCGGCCACCCGTTGGCAGCTTGCGGCCGCTCAGCTCAAGGTGCCCTGTTTCATCTTAGTTGCGGGTGGGCATAGCCACCATTCCATGCAGGAGTTGAACCGGAAACCTTATTGTTAGGAGCACGTGCTCTCACCAGCTGAGCCATCCTGCCACCTGTCGGCAGCTCAGCAGCAGCTCAGCTCAGGCGCAGCTCACTGGCCCATGTGGGAGTCGAACCAGCGACCCTGTTGCTCAGAGCTCATGCTCTTACCCAACTGAGCCACTCAGCTGGCTCCCAGTGTGTCATCTTTATCGTGGTAGCCAATAGGAGGGTGGTAGCATTTATCCAGGATACCTGGACATTTTGAGTGTCTGTAAAATGGAATTTTGTGGTTGGAGTCTGCCAAGACATGTTTACAACCCTACATAGAGAAGGTTGAATGACCCTGGTGCTTGGGGCGCAGGGGAGGGCTGGGAACGGAGAGTGGCAAGCCAACCAGTGTTCTGTGGGTGCTTTCCTCTGGCTGTGCACAGAGCAATTTCTCAGGAGGAACTGGAGCAAGTTCCATTTCTGATTTGATTTCCACTAGGGGAAGGCATTCTCATCTCCTTGGAGGCCACAGAACTTCTGGACTTCATAGACTGCCAAGGCCAGGTGCATGTGATCCAAAAGTACCTAGAGCGCCCTCTGCTGCTTGAGCCAGGTCATCGCAAGTTCGACATTCGGTGAGCACCTTGCGGGTCCTGCTCGCCAGCCTGAAACACATGCGTGGTGACCAAGTGTTCCAATGTGCTTAACATGTGACCAAAAGTGAGCGCAGCTGAATGCAACTGAGCTTCTGTGCCAAATTCCGTTTTTCTTTCTAAAAAATGTTACTAAGATTATGGGTTTTCTTTCTTTATATTCTCTTTAATGAAAATGACTTGTGGGTCCAAAGGGAAGGGTATAAATATATGAGGTTTGCTTGTGGAAGAAGCCAAGAGATACCCACGGGACACCCAATTCAAACACAACAGATCATCTGACCCTGACAAATAATATGTCCTGACATTATTATTTGTGTCCCTTTTTTTGAGAACTTTGTGAACACACCTCAGGTTTTTGGATTTTAACGTTCTGAGCAGGAGGCCTGGCAAGGGGTTATGCGATGCTTTCTAACACTGAGCAGCCCTCAGCCCAGCCTGCTTTTGACCCTGCTGTCAGCTCCCCAGAGGACAATGTCTGTTGCCTTGAAGCTAACTTGATGCCCTGTAATGTCAGATTGGCTTCAGGGTGAACAGTCCTCCTCCTAAAGTTACTAAAAGGGCAGGTGTGGCAAACGGAGCTTCCATAGACTAATCCTAAAAACCAGCCCATCACATCTCTTCAAAATGCTGTATCTTTTCAATGTGTCTCCTTGCCATCAGTTTGCCCATTACAAAGACAGTCACTGTCTTAGCTAATTGCCATGCCTTGCTTCATCTCATTATAGAATGCACCTTCTTACCTCCTTCCTCTACTTCCCACCAAAAACAGTCAAGGTGTGGGACGATGTGTGTGATATGAAGAAACTTTGGGAGACCTGAGTAAAAGTGTTTTCATTACCTTGCAGGAGCTGGGTCTTGCTGGATCACCAGTATAACATCTACCTCTATCGTGAAGGCGTGCTGCGGACTGCATCAGAACCGTATCATGCCGATAATTTCCAAGACAAAACCTGCCACTTGACCAATCACTGCATTCAAAAGGAACACTCGAAGAACTATGGGAAATATGAAGAAGGGAACGAAATGTTCTTTGAAGAGTTCAGTCAGTACCTGACAGCTGCTTTGAACATCACACTGGAAAATACTATCTTACTACAGATCAAACACATCATAAGGTAACTTAACTCTATCTTTTTTGCTTATGTGTACCTTGAAGAACCTTTGGGAGTGTCTGCGTCTCTGAGAATTTTTCCATTTAAGTTGTCTAGTTTAAGGACAAAAATTATTTGTAGTATTATTTTATTATCCTTTTAATATCTATAGAATCTGTAATGATGTCTCTGCTTTCATTCCTTATATTGGTAATTTATATCTTCTCTCCATTTTTCTTAGACAGTTGGCTAGAGGTTTATCAATTTTATTAATCTATTTTAAAAGTCAGCTTTTGGCTTTATTGATTTTCTCTATTGTTTTTGATTTCTTAATTTATGCTGTTTATTCCCGTCCTTCTGCTTTTTGTTTGGGGGGCGGGGAGGTTTAATTTGTTCTTTTTCTAGTTTCCTTGTGAAAGGTTACATCATTGATTTGAGAGATTTCATTTTTTAGAAAAATACAAGCATTTAATGCTATCAGTTTCCCTCTAAGTACTCTTTCGCTGCACCCCTGATTTTGCTGTATTATGTTTTCATTTTCATTTTATTATTTTCTATCTTCCCTTGTGAGTCACATTTGACTCATGCCTTATTAGAAATTTTTACTTAATTTCTAAATATTTGGGGATTTTCCAGACATCTTTTTGTTACTGATATCTACTTTAATCCATTATGGTCAGAGAACATAGTTTGTATGGTTTCATATCTTTAAAATGTGTTAAAGTTTGTTTCATGGCCAGAATATGGTCCATCTTAGTGAATATTCCACATGCACTAAGAGTAATGTTTTCTGTGCTCTAGCTGGGCAGGTTCTATAAATGTGAATTAGGTGAGAGTGGTTGCTGGTTCTGTTTAAGTCTTTTATATCCTTGCTGATTTTCAGATCCACTTGTTCATTATAGAAAGGAAACACATCGAAGTCTCTAAGTATTATGGATTTGTCTGTGTCTCCTTTTAGATTCATCAGGTTTTGTTTCATATATTTTGAAGATCTGTTGTAAGTGTATATGCATTTAGAATTGTTATCTCTTTTGGGGGAATTGACCACTTTATCATTCTATAATTTCTGCCTTTATCTCTGGTAATACTTCTTATTTTGAAGCCAATTTTGCCTGATACTAATATAGCCAGCTTTCTTTTGATTAATAGTATATCTTTTTCCATCTATTCTGTTCTATTTTGTTCTATTCAGTTCTGAAGTAGGTCCTGGTAGACAACATAGAGTTGAGTTTTGTTTTGTTTTCTTTTGAATCCAATATGATTGATAATCTCTGTCTTTTAATTGGTGTTTATACCATTTAAATTTAGTGTAATTATTGGTTTGATTGGATTTACATGTACCGTTTTATTATTTGGTCTGGTTGTTCCCTTTTTTGTTTGTTTGCTTTTGTTAGTTTTTCATTTCATTTCCTGACTTCTTTTGAATTATTTGAATTTTTTTTTAGAGTGCTATTTTAATTTTCCCATTGAGTATTTGGCTATATCTATCTAGATATCTGTCTATCTATCTCTATATCTATCATCTATCTGCCTATGTATCTATCTATCTATCTATCTATCTATCTATCATCTATCTATAGTTTAGTGGTAACTCCAGGGATTATAATATATGTACCTAATATTTCACAGCCTTCTTAGAGTTAATAATTTACCACTTGAAATAAAATGCAGAAACCTTATAACCTTATAGTTCACTTGACTCTCCCCCCTATGTTATAGTTGTAGTGTGTATTACATTCACATACATTAAACTCTCCACCACATAGTGTTATAATTATTGCTATCACCGTTTATATATATATATATATATATATATATATATATATAT